GGAGGGGGAGGCGATGGCGTTTTTTGGGGGCAAATTTGAAGTTGCAGAAAAGGAAAATGAGGAAAATTGAGGGAAAAACTACCGAACTGATGCGGGAAACAGTTTTTTTCCACCTAAAAATTACAGCCAAATTTCTATGGTAATTCAAAAAAAAATGTCCTTTTTGGGGGCAAAAAGACGCTTCTAGGAACCTATTGGTTGCTAGCCCGCATGCAAACATAGGCAGATCCAGGACGGACTCTTAGAAGTGGGGAGGGGGAAGGGAGGACGACGGGGGCTGGGAAGGAGATTCCCCTCCCATCTTGTAGCTATGCCAAAACTAGGAATAGAGTTGTAACACTGCCACTGAGGGTTATTTTTGATTTTAGTTTATTTTAGTTTTAATTTTAGATCGGGGTTTCTGTAGCACTGGTGCTTCTGCCGTCCCTCGCCCCTCCCCGCCCCCTTCGCCCCGGACCTGCCTATTGTTGTACAGCTTTGACGGGAAAAATGGCCAAGATTTCGCTGAAACAGTACAACGATTATGGTAATTGAAGTTAGTGAAAAGTGAACAAAGTGTTATGGAAGATGAGTAGTAATACAAGTATTTAGATTGTTAAAAATGCTTGAAAGTCCAGCACCAATGGGATTTACCTAAAATCTTGAAATTTTGTGGGAATGTTCACTCATTTAACAGGAGAAATAGTTTTGAAGTACAAACAATATTTACTTTATTTCTCGAGCGATCGATTTCTGTCATGTAATGCATCTTATTTTTTAATTTTTCATACTCATTATGAGTGTGGAGAAAAAATTTTTATGGGATTTTGTCGATTTTTAGGGGATTTTGTTGTACAACGTGGGAACACGTCTAAAACCACAATGCCAACAGCACACGCCGTTACTTGTACGTCAAATAATGAATGGTAATATTCGAAGTGAGCCTCAGCTCAGTGCTGCAATCGATTATCTTCTCACCAGTGCTGTTTCGGGTTTCAACGAAGCCGATTTGCTGAAATCCGCTGGTGTTGGCGTTGTGGTCACGGCAGAAGAGATCCAGCAACAGGTTAGAATGGATTTAGTTTATCTAGGAACAAATTAAGATGGATTTGGTTTATCAGGGAATAAGTTAGGATGGATCTAGTTTTTCCTGGAATAGGTTAGGATGGATTAAGTTTATCCAGGAACAGGTTAGGACAGATCTAATTTATCCAGGAATAGGTTGGAATGGATTTGGCTTATCCAGGGACAGGTTAGGATGGATTTGGCTTGTCCAGGAACAGGTGAGGGTGGATTTAGTTTATCCAGGAACGAATTAGAATGGATTTAGTTTGTCCAGGAACAGATTTGGATGGATTTGGCTTATCCAGCGACAGGTTTGGATGGATTTGACTTATCCAGGAACAGGTTAGGATGGATCTAGTTTATCCAGGAATAGGTTAGGATGGATTTAGGTTTGTTACTTCGAATCAGTTGCTGCTGCTAATAGTCTTGATTTTTCAATTTTCGAGCACACAGAGAAAATTCCCGGATGAATCATACTTTCTCCATCGCTTTTTCAGGAACTTTGTTGTAGTCTTCCTCTACGAAGTCAACTTTTCGCAGCTAAAAATGTACTGAAATAATAAGTAAATCATAAAACAGAAAATCCCCTACACTATGCATAAAATTTTTGAAAAATAGCTGGTATTTCCTGGGACTATTGAATCTTAAGATTTTTGTTTTCCAGGTTTGTGAAGTTATAAACAAGCACAAATCGGAAATCATGAAGCAGCGTTACAGTTTCAATTCTGGCAAATTACTCGGTTTGTTCAATGAAACTTTATCAGAAATTTCTTCTTTAATTTTCAGCTAGTTAGAAAAGTAAGAAAAAATTAAGTAAAAGTTTTCAGCTAGTTAGGAAAGCAAAAAAATTAGGTAAAAAAA